CTCTCTCTCTCTCTCTCTCTCTCTCTCTCTCTCTCTCTCTCTCTCTCTCTCTCTCTCTCTCTCTCTCTCTCTCTCTCTCTCTCTCTCTCTCTCTCTCTCTCTCTCTCTCTCTCTCTCTCTCTCTCTCTCTCTCTCTCTCTCTNTTTCTTTTTCTTTCTTTCTTTTCAAGTTTACAAAATACTTCCGAGATGTCTGTGAACTTGAATGTCACAAAAACCTAAAATACTTCCTAGATTTCTGGAATTTCCAACTTCTTGTTGTTTTTTGGTTAGATTCTGGCTGATCTACAGCCCCTCCCCTACAAACTTCCACTGTCCTTGGTGCTGAACACGTATAATCCCTTCCACAGTTCCAAAATATTACATTGAGCAAAACCCAAAACACTGCCCAGATTTCTATGTACTTGAAGATCAAGGAAACTCAAAATAGTTCCAGTAAAAGGAGATTCTGATTTTTATTTTTTAGATTCTGAGCGCTCTGCGTCCCCTCTACTCCCCTAAGCTGGTATGTTATGCCAAAAGGCGGTTAAACCAGCTATACAGATACAGATATACTCCATGAGTCGACTGTCCTTGGTGCTGAACATGTATAATCTACAGTTCCATAGTATGACATTCACAAAAGCCCAAATCACTACCTGGAGGTCTATGTACTTCATGCAAACCCAAAATGGTTCGAGAAAAAGGAAATTCTGATTTTATTTTTTAGATTCTGAGCGGTCTGCGTCCCCTCCGCTGCATGAGTCGACTGTCCTTGGTGCTGACCGCCGCGCTGCTGAGTCCGACCAGCCTCAGGACAGCAGGCATGTACCCTCACCCAGGAGACAGGACACAGCACCAGGTATGGACAATATCAGGTGGCCTTGTGCCATATAATTATGGCAAACTGGAATACCAGTATAAACAATCCCATGTGCTTATCAAGGCCTGACATAGTTTGGTTTACAAAATAATTTCTGGGAGGGATAAAAAACTTGTCTTGTTATGTGTACTTATGGTATCTTTTCTACAATGGACCTATACCATTATTACATCACAGTTTGTTTACCGCATTGAATGCCAGTCAATTGACGTTTACATTGTACAGGGGTGTGTAGCGCGGTGTGTGTTTGTGTAGCGTTAGCCTAATATAAGGCTTTTAATACAGTACTACATTCGTCTAATGTCACAACTAAATCACCCATGCGGCATGTAATGCTATGTTAACACAACTAGACGCGGCAAAAATCAGACATACCTTACTTTGAAAACTTTGAAATGATCTTTATTCTTTAACTGACCGTTCTAGAATGTTCTTTAGAACAGGTAAACAAACTGTGACATAATAATGGTATAGGTCCATTGGCTGTCTTGGCTTACTTATCTTCCTGGCATTTGTGCAGAAAATGTTAACACTATGTGAAGTAAAATATGTATAGTGGGAAAGTGCAGGATACTGTGTTTGTTTACAAAACACAAATTGCACAAGGGGATCTCTGCAAAAAGACTACTGATTATCTATTGGTTGATAAATACTCTAGTAGAAAAAAAAACAACCTTCTCCTGACTTAAGTAACCCTTTAACGAGTATATAATGTATTTATTCCACAGAAGTAAGACAGCCTGAACGCTGGTCAACCCTGGAGATGGCGCCGTCCCAGGATGACATGACTGGAGCGGACAGACGGTCACAGGAGGACAGGAGACGGCAGGAGGAGAGAGACAGGTGGGCAGTTCTGTGGGACTACTCCTCCATCCTTTTTAAGCTTATATGGGGTAACTTAATACAATTCACTATTAATAATAAACAAATACAGTGATTCCTCAGAGTATTTATCTTGTTGCTTGATTTATTTTGTATTGCATACAAAGTTTCACCACAGTGACTGTGATGCGTCCTGCATTTCAAGAATCTGTATCTGTATCTGTATAGCTGGCATAACCGCCCTTCAGCGTAACACATCAGCTTTGTTGGCACACGGTGTGGCAGCAGTTGGCTATATCACACTGAACGACTTGTTACACCCAATCTTTGCACATCTAACTCTAAACATTGTTTAAAGCTATCTAGTGATGATTTCCCTAGTGTGACTCAATCCTTGGTTGATAACTGTGATGCAGGGACAAATAGAGCCACTGATTTTGAAGCTCCTTGCAATTCAGCCAGCCCACCAAATGATGATTGTAATAATAATCTCACCCCTCCCTCAGACAAGACCAAGAGGATCGTGAGCAGAGAGAGTGGGAGGAGACCCTGAGGAAACGAGAGGAGAGGAGGAGACAGGAGGAGGAGGAACGAGACAGACAGCGGAGGGAACTGGAGAGGCTGCAGAAGATGGAGGTAGGAAACTGGGCAGTTCATGCCAGCAGGGTGTTCAGGATTCTCTTTAACTTAAACAATTTATTTATATCTGTATCATGTTCTTATCATCTAACCTAGCTGGTATGATTCTTTACTTCGTGGCGGCTTCTCTGGACCCACACGTACAGGTTTATCTCGACTGTCCTTTTCATGTGAGTTTAAAATCACAAGTACATGTCTTAGACAACAGCAGAAATGGTGTGCACACATTTTTCCTGTTTCACTGTCTTTCATCAATACCTGTTAGGCCACATAAAGTAAATTTTATGGATGGCATACTCTTCACACTCCAAATTTTATGCAAGGGTGTTAAAAAAACAAGATGAGCCACCTACATTTTTAAAATACTAGTAGAGACCATAAACATTTGAATATGAATTGAAGCAATAAAACATGGTAGAGTTAGTCACATAGCACGGGTGATAATGCAACACATCTAACTAATTGGTGACTGTACCGTGGACATTCAAAACCCAACAAGAAGCTTTTAAAAGATTTGACTTAACTAAATTCGATTTGCCTAATAACAGGAGGAGAAAGCTGAAGAAAGGAGGAGGCAGCTTCATCAAGAACAAGAGAAGAAAAGAAGAGAAGAGGAAGAGCAGAGAAGACAGGAGCAGGAAAAAAGGGAGAGGGAAAGAGAGAGGCAAGAACGAGAGGAACAAGAGAAGAGGAAAAAGGAGGAGCAAGAAGCTGCCCAGGCCAAGCAGGAAGAAGAGGATGCTGGGATTGATCCTGTGATGAAGCAGTACATGGAGAGGTTAAAAAGACAGAAGGAGGAAGAAAAGGCAAAGGTATGTTTGTTTGTTTGTTTGTTTGTGTTGGTCAAGTTTATATAGATTTGAAGTTGCAAATGCCTTTTCAAGCTTGCGTTTCCATTTCAGCGGTGTCAAATGGCCGAGTGGTTCGGCTAGCAGACAAGAGATTTGAGGGGTAACTGGTTAAATTCCTGGCAAGATGTTGTGTCCTTAGGAAAGGCACTTTCCTCACTCCACCTAGGTGTAAAATGGGTACTACATGACTTTTTGGAGACGTAAAGGCAATGGAAGGAAAGGGATGGGCTGCAACTTCCAATACTTGCCCTAGACACAGTGTATTAACAACCTACTGCCCCTACAGCCTCAAAAGAGCTATGGGTCCTTTTTCTTACCAATTCATATCAATTAGGTTTAAAGAGTTTATACAGACTAAGTTACAAATAAGTTTTCAAACTTCAGCAGCCTTTCTGTTTAGCAGTACAGTGTGGAGACATTGCTCAATATTGTTGCATGCTCTTTTTTGTTGCAAGTACCGTGTATGTGATGGTTGTCTTGGTGTTCCCCACAGGAGGCAGCTGCAGGTTCCCAGTCCAGCATCTCAGAACAGATCTCAGCTGCAGACGACTTGGGCAGGTGAGTTAGAGATGACGATTGTGTATCTGGTTGTCATCTGACTTGTTACAGGCTCTGTGAACTGTGTAATGAGCCCATCACAAATCAGATGGTTCCCAGGCTAAAACTGGAGTATCTCAGAATGGATATCAAGGCACAGTCCTTGTTGGTCATTGTAGAATTTTGTTGTTTTTGGCAAACAGCATCCCTTCCATGTCTTTCATGTTTCTTGCTTCGTCACTGAAATTTTTTGTTTCTTTGTTTCCAGCATTGAGGGTGGAGGCTCTGATGACTTTGAGTGGTAACCAGTCAGCAGTTCCAACTAACAGTACAGATATACCAGTCAGTGTTTTTGAGTCTTCTAGAAAATTAGACGTGCCAACCTTATTGTGTAACTGTTTATAATGTACTTCATTGTAGGCCATTAGGCTGTTCCAGAGTCAACCACCGACAAGGATCTAAGATAGCCTTTTCCATAACAAGGCAGCTGAATTTTACAGGACACACACAGCTATCACAAGAATGCCCTCAGTTTGCGATCCCAATATGTATATGTGACCAGACCCTAAGTTAGTGTATAATGCCATACCATTGTTTCTGCCGTCCTTGAATAATATAATCTATTGTGGTCCACTCTACAGGTTTTGAAATGAAATATCGCACAATGTTGTAAGTCATATCAAAGTTGGGCATTTATTTCCCATTGGCATGTTGCATTGTAACTAAGAAAAGATGTTCACAACATATACAACTTGTACGCATTTGTCAGTATATCACAATATGTGAATAATATTGTCATGATTGTAAAGAACTATGTCATTCATTTCATACTATAGTACTGCAAATCTCACACAGTTCTAAAATGTTTGTACGATAAAGTAGAATTTTACTACAATGTGTAAATAAAGGATAAAATTTACGTTTTTTTTTTGCGTTTTGCTTACTTTGTTATAATTCAAATACCAACACCAACAAAATTAATTTTCTGCTCCTGATTTCAAGTGTACCTAACATCACATATGATACTTACTCGTAACATGTACATGTATGTTGTATAAATTACTATAATAATTACTATGTTGAACCAGCAATCCAAAAGACAAGATTTCTACAGAGTCAACTTCACACTTTACAACCTTGCATTGTCTTAAGTTTGAAAACTGTAACTTACAAACAAAAAAGACATATTACTGAAATACAAACTATTAGGAATGTACAATGTATCTATCTACCATCTTCATTAGTCATGATCCCTGCCAATAACAATGGTATCACTACCTTTTGGAAGTTGGAAAACACTCAACATACAACATACACATTTCTTCCTAGGCCTTATACATTTGTAAATGCCTCTCTAATTTTCACACATATCTGAAGATTTCACTATGTCTATCTGCAACACTGATATTCACATAGTCCTAAATATACCTCAAACTCTATCAAATAACATACTGATTTGTATAGTATTATGTATATAAAATATTAGATTATTTGTATGCCAGATATATAATTTATGTATTCTAAATGTTAATCTACAGTCACTGTATCACGTTGACAATTTGGAATGATAGAATACTTGTAACAACACAGCATCGCACATACGACTACTAGTCAGCATGAATTTTTGAGAACTCAATTGGAATGTACATTTGTACCTCAAATATGTTTTATACCATACATGATGACAGAAGTAGCATGAATTCAAAGATTTCAGACTTCATGGAATTTTGGGGGTTTCGTTATTTTGGCTTTTGGGGAACAGTTGAAATGTATGACTTCCAAACAGACTTTGCAAACTAAAGCCTACCAGCACCAGGCCAGTTGAAATGCACTAATAAACAATGGTAATCAAGCCCTGCTTGATCAAAGGTACAACCGACATTGTCAATAGAATCCACTTCAAAACATTACATGACTGGAAGCTACCAGACTGATAGACTTAGATATTCTTACATTACTGGTAAAGGCTTGATTTCTTTTTCCCGACTTTTTTTATCGCATGCTCGCATCTGTTTTGGGATCCCCAGAGGATGTCATCCATATTGTCAAATCACTAGGGCGCAATAATACATAGCAGAACAACATTACATTACCTTATAGTTATTAGATTACACTGATACACTGTGATTATATTAGAATACACTTAGAAATGTCCATCTAGGGGAGGTTAAATAGAGTTTAAATATTCTGAGGTAAAAGTTATGAGTGAACATTCTGTTAAAACATTCCTCTGAAAAGGTCCATCGTAATCATGATTAGGATTATAGATCACAGAATTGCTTCAAGCCATTTTGCTTTTTGGGGTTTTGTTAAAATTTCACCTTACTATTTTCAACGAGCTTCAAATAGAAACTCCTTGCTATTTTCCAAAGTTCTTGAAGATTAGACCAAGGTAGATCATACTTGCTCAGATTTCTTAGTATCCAAAACTCTCTTAAACAGAAAAGAAGTTTATTTTTGTATTCTGAAATCCTTTTTATAAACCTAGATTCTGATGAAATCTAAAATGATTTTCAATTCCAATTCAAACTTTTGGTTTGCCATACTGATAGGGATTTTCCTTAAGTTTTAATTAATACCAGCCAGGTTTTGCCTCCTTTACTACCAGTTTCCAGCGAGGTTTTGTCGTGAGTTCATGATGATGTTGAGTTCCTGCTCCTCCTTCTGCTTGGTGTCCTCGTACTTCAGGGCTTCCCGTGACTCCCTGATGTGGACAAAGTTGGCAGCCTGAGCCATCAGGAAATGCACCTGGGAAAAAAGGGACATTAAGAAATGGGTCAGGGTACTGTAACTAAAACTGTAAAAATTTCGCAGTAGACCTACCATTTACTGTGAATTCACGACACTGCAGAAATGTCTTCCTTGTAGACTACAGAAACAATATTATGTAGTACTTAGTCCAATGGATTCATTCCTCAAGCTAACCAACATCTTGCACACAGCAGTTGTTCCTCAGTAAGACATCTGGAGCCACATAGTTCCCATTTAGAACTTTTTTACACTTACTGACAACCACAAATTTTTTTCTGGGATATATTGTAGTGCTGAGGCCACGTTAAGTCCAATTCAACCTTCCTGTCAATCTGTGGTTACACCATTTCCCCCTCACTTCCTGTCACTACTGATAACTCAGAAGCAAAATCAATCAATAACTTACAGACATAGTTGCTGCAGACAAGCCAAAAAGTATTTCAGAAAGCTTCTTTTCCAGAACTACATCACTATGGAATAAGCTTCCTTAACGTTTCCCAAATAGGTACTACCTTAAACTTTTTAAGTCTGAGGTAAGCAAACATATGTGTCTTTACAGTTCTTTCATTTCAACGTAACCTAAAACGTATTACTAAGAGGTTTGTGTTTGCCTTTTTTTTTTTAGGTGAAAATTGGAGTAAACATGAAAAAGAATGCAAATGTCTCTAACGTTAAGAATCTTTCATTCTGTTCAAAATAGTTTTGAATACTAAGCATCACATGTAAACTCACCATGCTGAGAGTAATCAGAAGTGCTCCAACCAGGGCCAGAACATAGAACAGGAAAAGCTGCTCCCCCTAGTGGTCAAAACAAGCATTGCAATCAGTTAAGAGATTCTACTACACAACGTTAACTTTACACAAAATCAATATGACTAATAGTCTATAGATCGATAGATAGTAAAAGAGAAGTTATCACAAGTAGTAATACTTGAATCTACATGTAGCTTGAGAAATTGTAGATCTGAAACGTCATATTCACAATATAAGATACACCTACATCGGAGAGACAAGTCGACCGCTTAAAGTAAGGTACAAAGAACATTGCCGACCTAGTGCCAACGGCTACTCCTCAGCTATTTTCCACCACCTACAACACAACCAGGGTCACTCTTTCAAACTCGAGTCCACGGATGTCTTAGACCGCGAAACACGCTGGTGGGAACGGGTTGTTAAAGAGGCAATATATGAAAGAATGTACAACCCCACCCTCAACAGGGAAGGGGGGCTACGGGTCGATCTTTCCGGCACTTGGGATTTGGCACTCCCAGCCCCGAGGACAGACAACACTTAAGCTCCTGTCCTGTATAACAGGAGCTTTCAGACTAATTTGCATCATCTTGTCTTGACTTGTCTGACTTTTGTTCCTTTTTCGACTTCCAAATATTTGTCTTCACTTTATTTGCATATCAATCAACAGGTTGTGTATATAAACCTGCTTTCCCCTCTGGTCTCTCAGTCACTGACGAAAGCTAGTGGATACTAGCTGAAACGTCTGACGTTTTCAAAATCATATCCAGTTGCTTGAGTAACTGTTTTTTGGCATATCGTATTACCTGGATGTCTAACCTTCATCGACGTAAGATACACCTTTAATTATATGTTAATGCCTTTACAAATGAAGTAGTTATAGTAGCGTACAATGTACATTATTACATTTGTAAAGATTACTCATCTAGGGTGCGTAGTAACAGTAAGATAGTAATTTAAAGGTTTATCCAGTTTGAAAAGACCAAAATGCTATCTTACTGTTAATGTACATTGTTATCATATGACATTCTAGTTAACAAACATTGTGAAATTTACCTGAGTTCCCTGGAAGCTTTTCAGGTCTGTTTCGCAGTACTCCCAGGGAACAGTGAAGTTCCAGCTGGGAGCAGCAGTGGTGGCCCCTACTGCTGTAGTAACAGCTGTAGTGGTGGGGGCAGCAGTTGTTGTTCCAGGGGCTGCTGTTGTGGCTGTTCCATTCACGTCAAACAATACATCCAGTCCTGTGTGCATGAGGAGAATTGTGATTATCATACTGTTCTCCCAATGTTGGATATAGGGATTTTCTTTAAAAATTTACGCAATCAGTATTGTCTCACCTTATTATGTTTCAGTGTCTATCAGGCACCTGTTCCTCTGAGCCTAAAAGGTCTGATAGACACCAAAACGTATTTAGCAAGGCAAGAGACAATATTGGTTGTGTAAAAGAGAATCCCCAGATCCTATGCTTTACCAGCCTGATGAAACTATTTTCGGATGTAAATCATGTTACATGTATATTCGTGGTAGCAAAAGTTTGAGTCTGAGAAAAATGGACATGTTCGCGGTATGTTTGCTGTGGCAGCATGTGCAGCAAAAAGAAATTTAGTTGCTCATGGTAATGATAATTTAGCTGTACGGAAGTGGCCGTAATGTTAATTTGTTGTCTTTTACGTCTGTCCAGACCAGGGGTAGAAAACTGTGACCTCACACAAGCTAATAAACAAATTCCGTGCGTACCAAACTGCTTGAGGTTGATGCAGTCTCCAGACGTCCCGTTGACGGTGATGTCGGCCGTGGAGGTTAGGTAGAACAGGAAGACGGGCAGAACTGAGAAACCCGACACCCCCAGCCACAGCAGGAACAACAGGTAGGTGATCACTATAGTCTGGGGGAAAGGAAAATAAAACACGACTTTAAATTTCTTTTCGGCAACAGCAATGAGCAAACCAGAAACATAAAAATTGCAAAACAAATGCATAATAGTTAACGTGACCTTCAGATGGTCTAGCCTAAAAATTGAAAGCTCTGTTTATTCTTATTCAAACACATTTTAAATGTGTTTGAATAAGAATAAACAGAGCTTTCAAGTTGCAGAATTTGGGACTGGCCATTATATTCATATATAATATATATGAATATAATGGCCAGTCCCAAATTCTGCAACTTACTGTAACTCCTACATAATGTAACCCAACACCACAGGGTGTGTGCTACAGCACCAGTTACCATGGTGACAGCCTGGCCCAGGACATTGACTTTATTTGTTTAAAGACGAAAAAACAGCAAAAATGTGTTCTTTCTGCAAAGGTAAACATAAAGTGTAGGGGGAAAGAGTTTTTTGTCTACTCTGTGTTTTAAGTTCTCAGTTGAAACAATTCTGTAAGACTGTAGCAATACAAAACATGTATTTGTGGTCATAATTTCATGGCCTTAGATTATATAAGATAATAATGAGGTACTCACAAATCCGTTGCAGATTCCTCCCCTCACGTTTGAGGAGTAGCCCCCGTAGGACTTGACGTCGGTGACATTTTTGGCCATGCAGCCGACACACAGGAACACCAGACTCATGAGTCCCATCCAGGCAGCCAGGCCGACCGACGCCCACTTTATAACCTCAACCCTTTAAGAGACATCAAACATGAGAACAGATATATTCTGTTTATTTCTTGGTTTGGCTGTTCAGAATGCACAGCCAGTGCAGCCCAAGTACGTAACTTGTAATTGCAAAGCCATGCTGACAAAGGCATTAAACATGATTATACAATGGAAATTAGAATTGGACATGGACAACATAACAATCTACAATATATCAAAAAGAGTAGGAGACCTTCCCGGTGTGAGTGGTTCAAGCCTTACAGTCTGGTCTCAAGTTTGACATCTTGAAGATCTGATAGTCATCTGATATCTTGCTATGTCAACCCTTCCACAAATTAACCTGGTATCCAGTCTTAAAGACAGCCGGCCCCAACCACAATAGACTGAATACCAGGTTATCCGCAAGTGTGGTAAGTCTTCATAAAAAGATAGATAAGGCCACACCAATTTAATTTGTTGGTTCTCGGATTCGCCTCTTCGATTTTTTCTGATTTGCAAAAAAAAAAAAAATTGATTCTAGTCCTGAATCAACTGAAAAATGCTCATGTTTTGCCCCCCAACAGTTGAGGAAAGTCCTTTTCTTCCTAGTTGTTACAGTTTTCCCATCTATCATTGCAGTGGTTTGATTAAAAGTTCAAAATTCAATGTTTAAATTTTAACCCAGCCTTTTGTGTTGACTTCATGGCTCATTTTGTAGCATTTAAGCCTATAATAGGATGCCTAGACCTGTTTTTATTTTTATTTTTTTCGCCCTGTCGCTTCATATTTTTTGTAAAAAAATCCGAGAACCAACAAATTAAATTGGTGTGGCCTAAATATAAAAAATTAAAAAGCATCACTTATGATGTAGAACACTCACAGCAGGTCAAACTCATATGATGATTGTCTCCCTCCCATCGTGAAGAGGTCCTTTGTCTGTGTGACAGCCAGGAACAGTGTTGGACAGTACAGGCCGGCGCCTGCAATACACAGCAGAGTCGCTAGGAGGGTCCATCCTGGGAACCGATCTGAGGAAACACACAGAAAAACATGTTAGATGTAAAAGTGGAGAAAGAAAAACACACATCTTGAATCTTACCAAAAAAAGTTACCGGCTAATTCATTTTATTTTATTCTATTCATACGGATTTGAGAGCATATTGGACAGAAAGCACATAATGTGCTTATATGGATCCTTTGCTCATAAAACATAGAGATTAAACAACATAATCACAAAGTTGGGGTAACAAAAACATACAGTGGACATAAAATGAAAATGTTGACTTTTTAGCTGTACTGTAAAATTCTTTTTAAGTACTTGAAGAATCAGATAGAAAAAAGATGATACCAGAGGAAGGAAAGCAGGGCTCAAATTACGACTTGTTTGCACTACCAAGTCTTCCAAAGGCAAAGAAGATGTAAAAGAACAAAATAAGGAAAGCAGAATAGTAAGGAAAGTAAGGTATGCCATACTCTATATCTTTTTGGATGGCGTCCAGCACCAAGGACATATATGTGCTTGGTGCTGAACCACAGATTATTCGGTGTACCGTGCTTTGTGTGTTCAGTCATTTGTTCAACCTTCCCAACCATTTGGATTTCAAGATGAAGGCAACTTTTTGCCCAACTTTTAGTTTGCACACTCGCATCAGTTTTAGAGTGCCAAAACTGATGTCATCCATACAATAAAATGACAATACTATAATGAGAAAGAATGTATTATTTGGTATACCATGCTCTGTGTGCTCAGTCATTTGGTTCAACCTTCCTGACCAGTTTGATTTCATATCAAGGCATCTTGTTTAAGCTTGCTCACATCAATTTTTGGGTGCCAGAGTATGTCATCCATACAATAAAATCAGTATGGCCTTCAGTCGGTCAACATTTGGCTCCATGATTTAAAATCCACTAATAAAGCCACCCTACAGACACATTACCTTAATGTTTATATCTTCAATAACGACTGCTCTAATCAAAGAAAGCTCCTGTCAAATTGCCCGACTTTTATTTTGCACACACTTTTGGAGTGCCAAGAGGATGTCATCCATATAATCAAATCAACATGGCCCAAGTAATAAAGCTACACAGACACATTACCTTAACGTTTACATCTTCACTAACAACTGCTCTAATTAAAAACAGTGCCTACATTCCCTGGCTGGTATTTACTCTTTACTCTAGGGGACATATAAATCAAATTGTAATCATAGGAGCAGTAAAAACTGTCAAAACGACTCAATTTATGATCCTTATTTGTGATTTTACATCTGTGCCAATTATATGTTGTAATTATTTTTACTTTTATGGCATGTTTGAGTATTAAAAGAGAGATGTATCAGCCATAAAGTTGTGATAGTTGCGTGTTCACTTTTAATGTTATCACTCTCATTAAACACCGCTTGTAAACACTAGGCTGGGCCGAAATTAGGACACTACTAGAAAAGAACAAGAAATAGTCATGCCTTCGAGTACTTGACTTATCAACTAATGATTGAGGTGTTGAAAAACTCATTCTTGAAAAGGACAAGAAATAACCATGCCTTCAAGTACCAGAGTTATCAACCAAGAATTGAGGTGTTCCATAATTTTTTTTTCCTAGAGAACTAGGATCGTAGATTGAAACTTGCTGCCATAGTTGGGGCATCATCACTAGATACCGTTCAACAACGTTTACCGTTCAATAGATGTGAAAAAATCGTGTATCGGTGCAATATTACTAACGTTACCGGTATCTAAAGCCTGTACAATGCCAAATTTTGTCCAATAACTTACAAAGTTTTGTATCATTTAAGGCTTAATGGGCTAACGTTTAACACAAACCTCAGGCTTCCAGATAATGTTTATATAGACAAAATAGGATCCAAATACCGTTAGCTGGTATGCGTAGAGGCGACACCTCCATTGTTAAGTCGAGAGGTGAAAGAAGCTTCAGAATTCTGTACAAGAATATCACCAACGCGTCCACTATTTAGATACGTTGTATCTACGACTGTTGTGCGATCAACACCCAAGTATTCCGAACTGTTTGCCCGTGTTGTGCATATGCCGCTATGCACCGCCACGGTGGTCAAATCTGGGCTGCAATTAAAGTTCGCAACTTTCCTAGAACCCGAACTGAGTTCGATCGCGTGTTCGATCTGGTAATTCGAATTACCGAACACGTGTTCCCTTTCTAGAACCCGAACTGTGTTCGATCGTACCGTGTTCGATCTGGGTACTAGTAATTAGAACCGAACGCGTGTTCCATTTGCGATGACTAATCTTGCGTTTGGTCAGTTTTGTTCGGGCGGCATGGTGTTGGGCGGGGTCACCGTTTACAGAAGGTGTGGCCCGTAACTTACCCCGTATTTATTAGGGACAGTTTCAGAACATGTATTTTTCCCTGCTGGAAAATTTATTGTCTAAGCTACACTGCCTCGATACTTGCAAACGCAAATCAATTTTCGTCGTTATATCAACATTTACAAGTCGTAATTTACTTTATTAAAATGCTGAATGTTATTGCAAGATGCACATGTATACATGTCTAATACTGTATTTCATGTCTGTGAAAACTCGTAAAAAAACTAACTTCTTTAGATGTGAGGTTTCGGCATTTGTGGATTTTGTCCATGCCATCATCTAGTAGTACGTAATCGCGACGGTCCTTGTTTGCTACAACTTAGAACAAATATGTTGCAAGACAGTATCATACGCCACCAGTTTGGTAGGCGAAGAAAGTATACATACCTGGTGAGTGCAAGAAAACAAAGCCAGACATAAACGCATAAAACGCGTCAAAAATGTGTGAGCTGAAGCCTACAACTCTACTTGGAGAGCTGAGAGTAGTTCGTGACTTTATTATTTGCCATACATTGTACCCGTGACAATCGTTGTGCAATAAACTTTGAATTAGACTTTTGTCTCCCTGACCTGGAATAACCTTTCCACCCTCTCACAAACACTCACGTGTTGTTTACCACTTTGATGAGTTGACTTTGTGTGATCGATAAAGAAAGGTCAGTGGAAAGATCACGGGGAAGCGGACAGAATGGTACCAGGATTACCGACTGTTGGTACAAGAAGAAGTTTATTGCGTGACAACTGTAGCACGTACAAATGTATGGCGACTTGTTCATATACAAAACTTGAATTACGTTCATGGTATTAATACCTAACTCTATTATCTAAGCCTTCTCGAGCTATCGTGTTTACAGTACACAGACACAAACACACACACAAACGAACATACACACACTCACACACACACTACACACACACACACACACACACACACATATACGCACACGCACACACACACACATACACACACACGCACACACACATACACACACACGCGCACACACACACACACACACACACACACTCACGCACACGCAAACGAAAGCTATGGAAAACATTTGCGAAGGCTATAACGTTATGCTGGTATAATTATGGGTTCACCACACCACGAAGTGGTGGTGAACCCATATTGCTTTTTCTGATGTTTCTTCTCCTTCTCCTTCTTCTTCTTCTCCTGACATTTTTTAAATGGATTCAGCTTCTTCATTTTAGGGCCTAAGGTCCTGAAATTTGGTATGGGGGTACAGTGGGCAAATACCCCTAGGCGTTTTTTAAATTTTTGTGATACAGGCTTTTAGAATGGTTTTATTTGAGTTTTTTGGCTGTGTTATAGCAAATGTATTACTGTGTTAGTGTGCCGTGTTTACCACGTCTGGGCATGAGTCATCACAATGGAATGCAGGGCATCAACCAATAGGCATGCAGCTTTCCTCTATACTTCTTGCTGATTGGCTGTTGGGATTTAACTTGATTAACACGTGCACAGAGCATTTCCATACTGACAGTATGTCTTTATTCAAGTGTTTTGGTTAGGTATTTCAAGCTTTTCTGCTCCAGCATTGGAATGCGGGCATGAACGTTTTTTTTTTATTTTGAAAATCAACAGTTTGCATTATGCAATTAAAAATCCTAACCAATAAAGTAGGGAATAGCTATCCAACTGTTGTTTTAGTTGTATGTTACTTCATATTATAGTTATATCAATGTAAATCATTGTTTTCCCTTGTGTTTCTCATTCTTTCCCTGCCATGTCGTAAAATGTGGTGAACCCATCGCTGTATTTGCTCCAAAGCAAATATTGGCCTTTCTAGTGTTGTATCTGTATTACTATTTCGGCCTTACATACTAAAGACCAACGCCAACGAAGCCCCTTCCCTCGCCCCACAGTTAACGTTACATACTGTCTACACTAGCAATATCTGACCACGCACAATATACAGTCTAGATAGAGATCAATCACAGACACAGGCCTGCGTGCAACACAAATGGATCGAGGAGAAACATATCGCCGGTGAAAATCTTTAAAAAGCCATAAAAAAAGCGTCTTTCCATCAAGTGCACACATCCCCCAAGGTCGCGATCTTCAGCAGATACGATTTAACTTTCCAAAATCGATGGCAAAAGGGTGATTTCAAGTCCTCAAAGTGGAAAAAAAATCGATAAAAAGATAAGATAATACAGTCGTTTTTGCGGACTTTGTATATCGTTGGATCAATTTTTTATACTAGTGTATTCAAACATGTAATCACAACGTGGTGACGGCACACTCAAGTTTTTTTTTAAATTTATATTAATGGCGCCACCAACACAGGGGACAATACAATACTCATTTTCACTTGAGTCTAGTGAGGAAAGCCGTGTAAAGTGCCTTTCCCAAGGGCACAAGATCGGTGGCATGTCAGGACTCGATGGATCGATTTATGGTGGTTAAAACAAACAGTTGGATTTTAGAGGTGCCCTTGGCGCCGTTTATGCTGCACTGAATTACTTCAAGTGTTGTTTGTTTGATATAAAATCATACCAAATTGATTTGTGTTGGTGGCGGTTTTATTATGTGTCCCTCCATAAAATCATATTGAATGTGCGGCATTATAATGCGGTATCATTCGTCGTACTCGGCTGTACAGTTTTGATGTCGCAGTATTTTCAAGCAGGCGGTGACAGAATCAACCGCAGACTAGTAGTT